TTATTAAAAAAAAAAAAAAAGAGAAGAGAATTTTACATTTCCTCGTTGTTAGTTAAACTTCATGCCTAGGAAGCATCTTAATAATTCTCATATATAAATTTAGTATTTAGAAAATGCATCATGACAGAACTTGGATGAGTAAGGAATAATTAATGTTATTGACATTACTTGACGTCTATATGATTTTTACATGTTAACTAGAGTTTAATTATCTGAGCACCGTTGTATTACAATTATTGCGGCAATTACTAGATGCGTGGTAGCATCATTTTTGGAGTAATTTCCATATCCTGTAATCATAGTATTACATTATTACACGTACGCGCAACAAAAGCCTTATAAAAAGTCTCTAAACTCTTCACATCACTTTTCCTTTGTCTCCCTCACCTTCAACAATCTTCAAGGAAACACTTCCATTTAACCTTAACCAAACATATCCTTTTCCTTTTAACCCGTTTCTCCTCTTTCTCAGTGAAAGCTTTTCTCAATTTCCCTCTTTATTCCTCATCTCACTCTCTTTTCCCCAGTCAACACTTTCCTACTGGTTTCATCTGATTCCTCTACCAAAAGAAGAAGAAGAAACAACCCTCTTTATTCCCTTATTCCCTGCTATATACATATTCATATTTCCCTTTTGGTAGTTAAATATGGGGTTCTCTGAGAAGCCACAAGTGGAAGAGTCAGATAGTACTAGAAAATGGGTCATCGCTGGAATCTCTTTGCGAGCACCATTGAAGCCAATATACACCACCACTGTGGAGAAAGAAGAACAAGATGAAGGTGACATGGAGGAGTATAATTCAACGACACCAAAAGGGGAAGAAGCAAAGATTCCAACCTCTTTGAAGTGCCCACCACCTCCTAGGAAGAGAAAACCTTCTTTGAAGTGCAACTATCGTGGTGGAGCTAGAGAGTTCTTCACTCCACCGGACTTAGAAACTGTGTTCATACGCCATGTTGAAAGGGCTAGCTAATTGATTATATTGTAGAGGTGGGAAAGAAAATAACCTTCACCAACCTTATATATATGTAGCTAGTTAATTAGAGCTGGCTAGAATTAATTTAGTTCTGTTATTATGTAACTTTTTTATTTTGTTATATATTTAAGTCGTTTTAATTCTCTGTTATTAATCTAGCGGGCTAGAGTTTAATTCAGGAGTTTAGAGATTATTAGGGTATTTGTATAAAGAGAGAAATAAACAAATAAGAATATGACTTATTTGCTTGCATGCTTGATCTTGTTCTAGACTTCTAGTTTTAGTTGCCTGTGAGTCTGTCTGCAAGAGATTTGTGTATCTGATGAAGAAGCTGACGTCAAATTGAATTGACATTGTGTATTGCGTGTTTATTCTGCTTCCTTTAATATTGCATCTTATCTCTAAATTTATCAAGTAATAGTACGCTATCTGTTGATTTATGTTAATGTACAGAAAGCAAACCAAGGTTGGTATCGTCGGTGAG